TTTTTTTTTTTTTTTGGTACTGGGAATCAAACTGAGGACCTTGTGCTTGCAAGGCAGGTGTGGTGCCACTGAGCTAAATTAAATCCCCGGCCCTCATCATTTCTTTAGGATAAATTCCTACTCTGTAAACTGCTAAACCTGTACTTTTTAATTTTCATATTTGAAAATTTTAAACTGCTAAATCTACAAAAACACTTTATTAGTTTTGACAGCTATTATTATAAGAGTCGTCATTTCCCTATATCTTCATCGTTTCTGAAGTGTTGTACACTTAAATGCATACAGAAGACGAGACCACAGAGGTGAAGGAGGCCACATGGGTCCGGGACAACTCTGAACATGGAGGCTCATCTCAGAGGGCAGCCACCATGCTGTTCCCGGCACAAAGCATTACACAGAAAGCCAACCTCTGTATCAGAGTTCGATGTAACAAGAAATCAAGAAATCCACATTCATAAAACTCCTTCAGGTTTTAAAGGTTGACAATTAACATGCTTTTATTTAAACATTGTGCAAGTAAGTCAAGACACACCAATAGATGTGACTATACTTAACATATGGAATGCTGTAACAGATGAAAAAGTATACTGTATTTTCATTTTGCATCTTACTACTCTGCTAACCTTTTACCCTGCTTACCAATAGAGCATGTTTACTTTGGGTTCATAATGACTGTCGGTATCCTCCTAAAGAGAGCTTTTCTTTCAGATTTATGCACAGGAGAAACTCAACCTAAAAACATTCAACAGCTTCAGGTAGAGAGGCTAAAGCTTGCCTAGAGAAGGAATTTAAATACTTATTTGGGGATATGGCCATGCTGGTACACATCTATAATCCCAGCACTCAAGAGGCTGAGGCAGAAGGATCACTGAGAGTTCAAACCCAGCCTGGACTACATAATGAAACCCTGCCTCAAAAAAAGAAAAAAAAGGCATTTGGGATTGAGGTGCCATACTCTCAGTGTACTAAGAGGACCAGAAGACTATCTAGAGAAAATGCTTATTTGTAAAGCCATGTACACCCTGGAAGAAGGTGACTTTAATCTATGATGTCTCTCCAAAACTATTACTTACACAACACAGCAAATTTTCTCTTTGCTGAGACATGCAAAAAGGAAAAGAAGAATTCCCATTTTCTCAATGTTATCATGTATTGAATTTAAGCAACCACTTTCAGCATTTTTAAATGAAATATTAAAAAGGGTTTGTACGAATCCTTTCCCTGCCCTCAAAATGTTGCAATACTGCTCCCACAAAAGAAAACTGCTATAACCTATCTGGCCTCAGAGTTGTTTTTGTTTTTTATTTTTTTTCATTCCTTCATCATCCATTACAAATCTCCAGACTTAGATGTTCAAGCATTCCCTGCACTGACCACAGATAGTGGTAGACGTCCATGGCTATCCAAGGGTCTTTCAATGAAACCATCTTTTCATCAACTGTAAACAAGCGCTAAACTCTTGGCTCCATAGAGAGTCCCTACAAGTCAGTATACAATCTGACAGGGGCAGAGGTCAAGGAGATGAGAATTCTACCTAAACTCTGGATCTCATACCACCCTCCCCCTGTTCAAAAGAATTCTTATCAGCAGAGAACTCCCCTGTAGAGGCCACATTCAGGAGACCCAGCAGATTCAGCTGAAGCTTGGGAAGCAGGCTCCATATCAGGAACAGAATGTTGTGGAGAAAAGGCGATGTAAGGAGGAAAAGCAGAGATTTATGAATTTAGCTTACTTTGCTTCAAGAAAGACCTGTCTAATAACTGACAGAACAAACCTGAACTTGAGAAGAAATCTCTTTCAGAACCTATTCCTCTTTTGTTCAAATCATCCCAATATATGCAAAAGATGCCCAAATGACACTTTAAAAATCTTCATTCTTTTGTACATAAAAAGCCCCACTATGGATGCTATAAATGATTATACTGGCTTAAATTCTCCTACCATTATTAGCACCCAAGACTTCACAATCAAGAGAGCCACCAACCAGACATACTAGTTAAGCAGGGGCTCTGAAGTCATATTTCACTATGACTTTTGGGGTGAGTCATTTACTCCTTCAATCTAACAGTTCTTATTTGTAAAGCAGAGAGAGTCTTAATTTAATAATGCATGCAAAGCACTTTGTGCATTACAAAATAAATATCAGCTATCATCATTATAATGGTAAAAACCACTCTACAAAGTTAAACTTGAAATTAGGTATTTCACAAATGATACAACTTTTCTCACAACTGCTGAATACATGAAACATGCCTGGTACATTTTCTCAATCTCTAATATTCTCTCTTAAATTCATTCTTGTACATAATACTGTCCTACATGAACTACTTTCTGATACCAAAAACTGCAACATGTAGTGTGACAACTAATAACCATTAAGACATGGAATACTCGGCAGAGCCTATGGTAACTATACATCTATACATGGGTGTATGGGCACAAAAGTATCCCCGAAGACTGAATCCTGGAGATACCTGACAGCTGAATGTAAAGCCAGTGCAAGTTGATAGTGACATTCTGACCTAACATAAAGCCATCACCCACAGATCCCTGCTTGGTGAGAATTTACCAGTACGGCAAGAGAGGCCAATGACTAAACTTATCAGGTCTCCCTCAGAATGCTTTCTATTAGATCTTGCTATTAAACAAAAAATAAAGTATATAACCTGTATATTTGTTTTTACAAAGCAGAGGGTTAACTTCTTTAGGCTCCTAAGAGGTTAAATAAATGGGTTAGCAGAGGTCATTTGGGAGGTTACCTACTACTGGTGGGGGAAGAGGGATAAACCCCCTAACAGTTAACTGGATGGTAAAGAACAATCTTCGCCAAAATGGTCATCATTACATGAGCTCTGTTCCTGTGACTCAACTATTTGCTTGAAACAATAACTTATGTTTGCTAACATCTGGAACAATTCTTCATGTCATTAAGAAAATGTAGTTACAATAGCCCATTAGCACAAACCTGAAAATTTCAACACTCGACTACATAGGTGAAAATAGCACACATTTAAAAGTGTGTAAGCAGGGTGTAAACACATGCCTGTAATTCTAGCACTCTGGGAGGATGAAGCCAGGATAATTTAGTAACTTGGGTTTTGTATGAAGGTCCTGTGCCAATCCCCAGTGCCTCAAAAGAAAAAAAAAAGGGGGGAGTCATACCATTTGTCAAGCATTATTTTATTCTAAATCTTTTTAACATTAGTCAGGGCCAGGGGATTTAGTTCAGTGATGCTACCACCTGCCCCTCTCAAGCACAAGGTCCCGAGTTTAATCCCCAGTACCCCCCAAAAAATTAGTTAATTTAAGCCTTAAACAGCCCTAACCCTAATAGAAATGAACTTTTTATTATCCCCACTTTATAGATGAGAAACCTAAGACACAGAAAGAATAAATAACTAAGCTCACAGAGTTCATAAATGTTGAAGCCAAGCTGAGTGCAAGCAATCATGAGCCAAAGTTCATGTTCTTAATTCAGAAGTTTACAAAAAAGCTAAAGCACTCATTTGAAATGGAGATGAAAAATTTAGAAGCTAACATGTTCTCCATGGCATTATTTAGAATGTAGAAACCTAAATGCCCAAGAATAGGAGAACAGTTAAATATGATTCCTAACTATGTAAAAGATGAGCTCAGACAAAGTGGAAGCACGTGTTGTCAAATGAGATACAATGGTTATTTCTAGGTGATGTAATTAAGGTTGCTTATATTTGTTTTTCAGTGGTTCCCATAATGAACATATGAGATTCTACTACTAGGTTAAACAAATGCAATTTGTTTTAATTAAGCTGAAGGAGAGCCCTCAACCAGTCAGGGTGGGGGGACAGTGTCTAAAAAGTTCCTTACTACTCCAACTTCAAGAAGTGTCTTTCCTTGAGATGCTAGTCTCTGAACATCAGACCACATAGTACATACAAAAAGAATGTTCATCTTCAACTCAGTGTTTTCAATTTTGGCCTGTGTTTATGCTCAATGTAATTATTTTAGGATATCAGAAGAAACAGATTTTTATTATATCTAGGCCAAATTTAAAAATAAATTGGCTGGCTGGTCCGATGGTAGTGGGTTATCAGAACTTATTAACATTAGTGTCACTAAAAATAACTTGGCTAAAATAGGTAAGAGACAAAAGTTCGACTGGGGAAGAATAGCTGTTGCTAATCTAACTATTTACCCTTTGACCCTCTATCTGCCCAATAATTGAACAGTACCAATTGTTTCCCTGTATTATGTGCTGTTTACAATCCCTGAGAGGCATGAAAGGAATTAATAATTTAGCCTAGAAAGCTGACAGCCTTTATTGAGGAGTCCTTGTCTATGGGACAGAAATCAGAGTAAGGGCCATCCTGAAGTCACAGGTCCCTTAACTGCTCCTGTTTTATAGCCTCACTGGCCCCAAAACATAAATCAATTATTTCTCCTGTTTTAAGCAACAATGACATCTATTCTCTAACTTCCCTTGTATCAAGACAGTCCTTGTTCTACTGAGTTTTACAACTACATGGTAAACACGATGGCTGAGGGAAAAATTCAGGGAGCAGAGCAGACTAGGGTTATTTGGAAACAGAAACACAGAAAGGTTATGCTGTCCTGAACTTCTCTTGACCTTTGGCTGCCCTTAGCTTATGCCATCAGGCATGGTATAGGGGAACTTCTTTAGAAATGAACTTAGCCTGAACCTGTGCTATAACATCGGACTCCAGGAGCCCAGGAATCATAGGAAGGCAGCCAGAGTGTGAACAGCTGCCTATATTCTAAGCAGAGCTGCCCATCTGCTCTACAAGAGAAAAGATGAAAAAGGCCATATGAATTGGACAAAAGTCATCTTTCCTTAACTAGTTCCAACATATCCCACCTGTTCTTCCAAATCTACTATCTGCAACCGCTGCCAACCACAAGTAGAAATTATAAGCAAACATGAGCAGGCATCCCTTACCAAGAATTTTGGAGGACAGAACATGCGAGCTTCCAAATTCCAAAGAAACAATGAAGAAAAATTCCCATTATTCTCAATCTAACATGCAAATGCCATGAGGTAACACAGAACATATTATTTCTTTCCAGACAGAACCCACAGAATTTACAGTATCAAAAACCAAAATGAAGGGCCAGGGATTTAGATCAGTGGTTCAGTGGCCTGCCTTGCAAACGCAAGGACCTGAGTTCAATCCCCGGTATCAAAAAAAACAAAACAAACAAAAACCAAAATGAATTTAATACACATTCCATTCTCAGTCTTCAGGCTTCCTATATCTTTATAGTTCTAAACATGTCTATTTGAATCCCAAGATCTGCTATATGTGGGAGGCGCATGCCTATAATTCCAGCACCTGGGAGGCTGAGGCAAGAGGACTGCTGCAAGTTCGAGGCCAGCCTGGGCTACAAAGTGTCAAGAACAGCCTGGAATACATAGCAAGACCTTGTCTCCAAAAAAAAGAACCCCCAGATTTGTACAAACAGACATTAAATTCTTACTTTTTGTCTGTTTATTACTATAATCATCAAAACTTTATGTATTTACAGAGAAAAAGTTAGAAATACTTTTTAAAAGTATTAAAACTTTTAAAAGTTAAAAAAATTTTTTAAGTTAAAAACATAAGAGGGCCGGGGATTTAGCTCAGTTGCACCTTACCTGCCTCACAAGCGCAAGGTCCTGAGTTCGATCTCTGATACCAGAAATTAAAAAATAAATAAATAAAAATGTAAGAATTACTGAGAATACTACCCAGTACACTAAGCATATTTTTTTTTCTTTTGTTCATACTGGGGATTGAACTCAGGATCTTGCATAAGCTAGGCAAGTACTTTACCCCGAGTTATATTCCAACCCACTAAAATACAACTTTTTTCTTAAAAGATGATTTTTTGAAGACTTCCATTCTATACTGATATATGAGAAACTATGCCCACTTGAGTGGAATGGAGAGGTCTATACATCATCATAGAGAGTCTACACATAAGTATTAAATGACCTAGATCACTTGGCCCAATAAGTAGAATAATTCAACAACTTTTATGAGACTATCAAAAGCCTTCTGCAGCAAGTGCCATGACCAGTTTTCAGTTGCTTCCAGGTAGATAAAGTGAGAATAAGCTCAGGTACTATGCTAAATTCAAGCTCTGAAAAGCATTATAATTTAACTAGACCTTGAAAGGGTCCCAGTAAGAAATAGATGCAAATGCTTTTTGACAAATTAAATGGGTACCAAAGCTGATTGATTATAAATTTATAAACAAGCTTAATCTTTCTTTGAAATAAACTGTCAAAACTAGATACTGACTGTTAGACGACAATGTGTTTTTTGGGGGGTGGGGTTGGTACCTGGGATCAAACTCATGACCTTGTGTGTGCACAGTGCCACTGAGCTAAATCCCCGGCCCTAAGATTACAATTTTTGCTGTTGCTGCTGGTTTCATAGGCGAATGGAGGCCAGAGAAAGATTAGTACTAAAGGTCCAGGGATTTAGCTCAGCGATGCTGTCACCTGAAAGCACAAGGTCCTGAGTTCAATAACTGGTATCCAAAAAAAAAAAATTGGTAGTAAAGAGAAATTTTTAGCAAACCAACTTTCTATAAATGGCCAGGGCCACTGAGCAATATACAGAAAAGAAAAAGAAAGCATGTTATAAAAAACAGAATACTATTCCTATAACTATAAACTAAAGTAAAACAAACTGAATTAGTTACACAAAGCTTTTCAATGACACCTTAAGTTACACATTTAAAAGCATATACAGACACCTGCTCCCGACCCAGCCGCCATCTATCAATCGCCGGGAGGTAGCCTGGACCCCGATCCACCGCGGGAAGGAGAGCCACGCCTTCTCCCGCCCCAGCCGCCATCGCTCAAGCTCCAGGAAGATAGCCGTGCAGGCGCCCCTGAACCCCCATAGCCCCCCCACACCACAACTCTCAGACCTCCTGGCTGTGCCAGTCTTTGGACCCACTCTGCAGAGGCAGAGGTGGTCATCAGGGGTATTTTTCTGACTTCCCAACTTTGAACATCTTTAAAGAAAGGGCGTGGGAAACCTGTAATAGAATGTTGTGGAGTTCAACCATTCAGAAGGTTGGGGAACTCAATCTGGGCCT